GTAAGTGCTCATAGCCGAAGCATGTTTTATCTCTTTATTTAGAATTCTGTTACTTTGCCAGACACAGACATATTTTGATATAGAAAGGCCTTCAAGAAACCTGTGAGTAGTTTCAGTGAACAGTCTAATATTATCTATTAATGTAAGTATCTGTGTACAGGAGTGAGGACACAGCCTGGATACACACTTTCAGTAATGTGAAATCCGTGCGCATAAATGCATTATGAAGAGGAGAACTACATTTTTGCACACTTTTGTCTTAAGAATTGCACTGCTGATTCTGTAGCTGTCTGCACATTTAAGACCATGAGATGGAAAATTGTCTCTACACTGGCATGACATGGTTCTCAGAACGTTTGTCCATATTTTGGGACCACTTGGAAATATACTGGGAAAAACTGTTGATAATGAGAAGCTATTTTAATATTGTATTTGGTAGGCTGGTGTAATCTGCAGTTATCTGCATCATCTTTTTTTTTTTCCTGTTGTGTTCATAAACATTGTTAACCATCACTTTTAGGAATATACTATGTTGTGATGCACCTCATCAATTTACTGCATGCATTACTGCTTTCTAAATTATTTGTAAGCAGAACAACTGCTGGGAATTCAGTAAAGGGAGATAAAAGATGACATGATTGTCTTTAGGTCATTATGGTCTTGCTAAATCAGAGAATCTAGAAACAGGATCTAAGCTGTTCACATGCATTGAGAGAACAGTGCAGGAAGCCCTTTCTTAGCTGTCTCTGCACTTATACTTGCAATAATCCAGGTGAGACCAAATTGTGATGTGCTTTTCCACTCTCTGCCCATGAAATGACAGTTTAAACTCAGCCCCAGATGTGGCTCCTATGAATAGAACATCAGAGTAGTCCTGACACAGTCCTGCTTTTTTTTTTTTTTTAGCTAGAAAGTGAGGGTACTGCTTAAACAGCTACATGCCTCAGTGTGGATGTTTTTAATCTTTCTGAGGCTCTGTGGTTAGTAGGTAACCAGTCCAGTGTACTCTCAGGAAAATAATGAAGCATGATGACTCTTGTGCTGTTTGATGCTTGGGAGATGCAAGTTTCACCTCATATAGTCTGAGCTGAGAAGAGGAGTCCCGGGAAAAAGATCTTGAGCAAGTTGGACTTTGCTCTCTGGTGGAAGATAACAAATACAGCCTGAGGCCAGTACCTGCTGCATTGCTTCCCTCTCTATCACCAGTCATTTAAGGACAGGTCTTAATGCATTACGATGGAGATTCACAGAGAGGCTGTAGTTACCTCTCCCTGATAGGCTTGTTCCTGTATTCAGATCACTGACATGTCCCCCAATGAAGTGTTCATTCAGGTGCACACTAGCCTCAGGTGAGATAAAACACATTAAAGCCAGCTGTGAAAGGTAGTGCCCCCTGCTTCTTGTTGCTACTTTTTTTTTTTCCATTTGAGTCATGCTCAGCTTGCTCATTTTTTCCCCAGTACCTGCCAGTAGGTTCTTGGCCAAAGTCCCAACTGTAAAGCTGGGCTCAAATGTGGAGTACAGACCTGGTCTCTGTTACTTCTATGTTGATACAAAAGGTGATTGTTTCCTCTGCTACGTTTCAGAGATGGTGCAGTTAAGAGGGAGAAGTACCTTGGAGTTTTCCTGTTAGAGCAAAACCAAGTTTTATAGACTGTTGCAATCTGTCTTTTCACTGCTTCAGCCATATCATCTTTAAAATGCAATTTAATGGTGCCTTATGGTGTGTAGAGTTTACAAGGCTAATCTGTCCCCAGTTACACGACAGAGCCTTTGATAAAGCAGCAAGTGTCTTATATTAGATTAAACTGATTCCAGAATGTTTTATGGGATGATTTAATATACTGGATTGGAACAGTTAAATTTTTTAAAGTGACTCTAAAAACGGAGGATTTAAGCAGCTATAACTAACTAAGGGGTTAACAGCAGGCACCAGCATCTATTTTCAAGGGTTTTGCTGTTTCCATTTTATTCTAAGGTGTTTGTGGCTTTGGGAGAGGGACAAGGCATACACCCAAAACCATAAGGAGCAGATTTTGCTGTTGGATGGTTTTATAATATAAAATATTCCATTAATTTGTATAGATGTGCAGTGGCTTACCTGAAGAAATTAACCTACAATCTTTTGCCATGTAAAAAATATGTAGGACCTTCCTTTGATTCTTTGTGCTAGGACAGTTTATGGCTGGTAAGGTATTGACATACTGAAGATGACAGTGGAATCAACAACATGCATTTATTGTTGGTGTAGTTGCGCTGTCACTGTTGAAAAGTTAAAAAGCAGCAATTATTGCTGAAATCCGAAAGCTGCTTTATAATTTCACATGTACAACACAACTCTTTACTAGAGATTGTAGCCATGGCAGCAGTGGTTGCTGCACTTTGTGAAGTACAGGCGTGTAGTTACTGTCAGTGAAACTGATGAGTTTAATAGTGATTTTTGTTAAGTACAAAGTTTTAAAAAATCTCTTAAAAAAAGAAAAGAATGCACCTATGTTTCATAGAATCAGCTGGGTTGGAAAAGACCTCTGAGATCATCAAGGCCAACCCTACCATGGTTACTAGACCATGGCACTAAGTGCCACATCCAGTCTCATCTTGAAAACCTCCAGGGATGGTGAATCCACCACCTCCCTGGGCAGCACATTCCAATGCCTGAGCACTCTCTCTGTAAAAAAATATCCTACTACTATTTAGCGTAAACCTCCCCTGGCAGAGCTTGAGTCTGTGCCCTCTT